GCGGGAGCGCCACTGCGCTCCCAAGCAGCGCACTGTAGCAGTGCGCCACCGGGCCAGCCCAAAATTTGTATCTTTCTGATGAATGTAAGAATACTACATGGATGGACATTATTTTGAATTTCAGGAGGAGGAATTTAGGCTATACCTTACAGGGATGAAAAAGATCCTTGAACTCTGTGCATGTAGAGACATTTAAATATGTTTTTCAACATGTTGTAGAATCTTCTTGGGAAGAAAAAAAAGACTGTGTTAACTCTTCTCTGAATGGTTTTCGTGATAATCTTTATAAAAGCCAGGTGGAGGCTTAATAGTTTTTCCAGTCCTTTGTTGCAGTTGTTAAGAATATTTAAAGAGGAAATATCCTGCTATAATATTAAGTGAATTAGACTTTGCTGTCTCTTGGCAGAGGCAAGGCACATCTTTACCGTTAGGTGGGTCGTGCTCAACTCTGGGAAAATATTTTGGTTTCTTTTTGATAAGTAATGGCTAATTTTGTATGTGCTTTAATTTACTTGACTGTTTTTTTGGCCTTTTACTCAAGCCTACAGTTTATGAATAGTAAGATGTAATATTTGGCTATGACGTGATTTATGTGAAAAAGGATTCCCAACGAGAGACTTTTCACTGGAAAGTATTTTGTTTGTGCACTCATCTGTTTTTGTTTACCTTGCTCAGACGTGTGCAGTTTGCTTTTCTGAAAATGTGTGTGGTGAAATTTTCATTCAGAAAGCAGATGAACCAGTCTGATCAAAGAGAAGGCTGCATTTCTGCGTGTGTGCTCTTAAATTCAGGTTATGGCGTGGTGTTTCTGCTTCAGACACAGACCAGTTTGAGGCATTCTGAATTAGAAATTCTTTCCTCAAATAAACACATACCCCCCACTTACTACACAGAGTTTCCATTATTTGAAATGCAGAAAGCAAGAAGGAAGAGATTTCTGAGGAGGGACTTAAGTATCTGAGACTGAAAATTGGTGAACGCTTATACTGACCCCAGTGTCTGAAGCGTAAGCTGAGAGCAGTGAGATAAACGGCTCGTTTTGAAGGAAATCAGAACCGTGCGTTACCACTGCTGATGAGAAGAGTAATGTTCTTACCACGTGCAGAGCCTCCCTATTTCTACAGGGTTAGCAGTTACCATCTTTTCCTTTTTCCTTTTAATCCTTCCTTCTGTATTTGAGGGTGTGGATTCAGCTAGAAGAACTGGAACCTTGTCCTCCGCTCCTACAACCTGACAAGATTTTGTTCAAATGTCTTGATCAGGGTCATTTTGAGATGAATGACAGAACCTAGGCCACACTGAAGTTACTGCACTTGGCCTGTGCTGATCGTCATGAATGGGTTGTTATGCAAGTGTTGTTTTTTTCAGCTTGTATTTCTTTTTGACTCAAGATCCGTTTTGATTTCTCTCAACTTATAACTAATGAAGGAGAGATCATTTGTCCAGCATTCTTGCTGCTCTGTGTTCCTCTGTCCTGTTGTGCCATAGGCTCTCCCACGTGGAAATAAAGCCCTGTTTTGGTTAGGAGGAAGAAATTGGAAGGCCACGTACACTTCCTTACTGTTGTTTGGGAGGAAAAACCTTTTCTCTACACTCTTAGGTTCTGTGACAGGGTGCCTGCAAATTAAGCTGACAAATGACAGGTCAGCGAGAGAGAAAACAGTGTATTTATGCATGCTGTTCATCACATCCACCCCTGTGATCTTTTACTTCTTTTATTTCTCTCCCTTGTGAGATGATTTATCACGCCAGGGAGTTTCTATTGTGGACCAGCTTGACTGTCTCTTTTAATATGT